CTCTCATTCTCTCTCTCTCTCAAATAAATAAATAAAATCTTTAAAAAAAAAAAAAAAAGAGTCGAGACGTACCGGGCAGTGGTTAAGTGACTGGACTGTGGAGCCAGAGAGTCTGTGTGCAGATCCAGGCTCTGTGACCTTGAGGTGTCATTTAAGCTTTCTTGACCTTAGTTTCTGCATTAATAAAATGGGGTTAATAATAGTAGGGTGTTGTGAGGATTAAATGGATTCATACATGTATGAAAAATGTATGACCTGTAGTACACACTAAGTGAGGCTACTATGATTTCCAAAAATAATTCACTTTTTATGTTTATTTTTTCCAAATTTTATAACATATTTAGTTTTAACTGATTACTATTAATAATTATAATGACAACACAGTCAGTTGTCTTAGCTAATTTAACACTTAGAGCAAAATGGTCATGGGAAATTTTGGAAAATGAATTCCTTTCTTCTATTTTTTGTTTACAAGAATATGATCAATAAAAAGCTTTTAAGCATAAAATATACATTAAGATAAAATTCTTTGACAGAGCAGAATGGAGATGAATTCAAGGAGAAAAATGTAAAATATCCAATTGTTCATATATTTTTAAAATAAATGATGGTAGGTATCATAATACTGTGGCATTTATTTTCGACTGAGTACATTTAAGAGAATGACATAATAACATTATTTAAAATGGTATATGTATAAAAGCATGTATTTAAAATGGTCAATATTTACAATACGCTGGAAATGACACCCTTTGCAAGTATTTAAGGAAAAATTTAGAAGTCAACTTATGTTCCTGTTCCTGGATATATGTGTGTGTGTGTGTGTAAAGATTTATTTATTTTAGAAAGGGGTGGAGGGGCAGAGGGAGAGAGATTCTTTTTTTTTTTTTTAAAGATTTTATTTAGTTATTTGACAGAGACACAGCTGAGAGAGGGAACACAAGCAGGGGGAGTGGGAGAGGGAAAAGCAGGCTTCCCGCCGAAGCAGGGAGCCCCGTGTGGGGCTCGATCCCACCACCTTGGGATCATGACCTGAGCCGAAAGCGGACCCTTAATGACTGAGCCACCCAGGCGCCCCTAGAGGGAGAGAGATCTTAAACAAACTCCACGTTGAGCGCAGAGCCTGATGCGAGGCTCCATCTCACAACCCTGAGATTGCAACCTGAGCTGAAGCCAAGAGTTGGACACTTAACCAACTGTACCACCCAGGAGCCCCAACTGATATATATTTTTAAAGTGTAAGTGTGTATAAGCAAAAATGCTAAAGATATTGGAATAAAACACTGACTTATAGAAGTAAAGATGTAAATGAAAGTACTGGCATAAAATCACCTTTTAAATTTATGTTTTCAGAGTACTAGGTATTAAGAATATAGATATTAAGAGTAATATCTTCTTTATCAAATTGGGAAACTAAGTACAATTCTAGAATTCTGAGGCTTCCCTAGTGGAAAGTTGGATTGACTCTGTGTGAACTAACTTGGCTGAGTATCTCCAGGGCTTCACAGGGAAGGTCAGTGCATGGACATCACATACACTCCCAACTTGATTGGTGTGTATTGCCTGGGATAGAGCCCTTTTCTTTGAGGGGGGAGCTGGATTTGTCCTTTGATCTGTTTGTAGATGGGCCCATCTCAGCGTGGATCTTGTCCTGAGGCCAAAATGGGGAGGCTGTTCTGCTTGATGAATGCTCTGAGAGTTTTACATCGTGCTGGAAAAGCAGCTGTTACTATTACTAGAGGAGTACCAGCTAGGACCAAAAAAAAAAAAAAAAAATTAGTAGGCCTCATGAAGAACATGCTAAAAATAGTGTTTTCAGTGTAAAAAAATAAAAAGTGTTGAAGAAAATTCACATTCCCTCAGGTGTGTTTATTGCCAATTATATTTATATCAGTTTGACATTCTTTCGTGCTATGCTGCAAGATGAAAGTTTGGATACCATTTTCTTAGTGGGCAAGTTTCATGTCAGCATATCCATAGTTGTAATCATAATGAATATACAATGTTGTGTGCTGGTTTTTACACTTAACATTATTTTCCAAACCCTTGCCAAGGAAACTCAAGAGCTTTTAGAGGAGTGATATGATAATACTATAGCCATATTTATACCAACCGCCACAGAATCTGAGGAGAGCATGAACTTTAGTTAATGTGATTTGTCATGGCCTATTTTCATGGCCCCTGAGACCCAGGTACCATGTTGTTGGAGACTCGGGTCAGATAATCCAGGCCTCCTCTGAGAGATTGAAGCTTTGGCATAGCTTTCTGAGAAGTTGGTGACCCTGCCCCAACCAATCTGGAAAAACAGCATAGGGACAGAAGGTGTTTACGAGCATTTGAGAGAGTCACCCTACCCTGAGCCCTAACCCTTCTCCGTATGTTTGTTCTCCTACACCAAGTCATTAATTCCCAAGGGTTGCATCCTATGGCCAAGTCAAAAGTGGCATAAAGCCTAAGCTAGTTGCCTAGAGTCTTCATAAAGTCTGTGTGATGTTCCTGTGAAATATTTCCAAGAAGGATTTAATTCTAACATTAAGATGGTGCTACTTAAAACAGTGAGGGACTAGACAAGTAGTTTGTATTGGTGGCCATATACATTGGTTTAATAATTTTGGAGGGAAATGTGATAATACAGATTAACAGCCATATAGATATCCCCACTGTTTTTACTTATTCTTGAAATGTTATTATAAGGAAATAATCCATAATCCATAATACGCACACACACACACAATGTATAATAGTATAAAACTGGAAAATGGTCTAAATAACAGAGGAATAATGGTGAAGTCTACTATATTGGCCAGATGGAATATTATATAGCTAAAAAGAAAGTTATAAGGAGTATGCAAAATAAAGAAAAGTGCATATGAAATAATGTTAAGAGCTAAAAAGAAAAAAATGAATCAAAAATGATATATTCACTGTGTACATAACTGTGAAAGATAAGTAGATAGATCAGTATCAATAAAATTGGGAAGAAATCAACCTTTAAGAGAAAGGAAAAACAAAAACTTAAGGATGACCTAGTCTGAAGCAATCATAAGATTTATTGACTTCACTGGTGTGAAGGGACGTATTAGAGAATAATAGTGATCTCTTAGTTAGCCTTGAGGTCATGTGGGAAGCCTGCACGGATTTCCTGGTACCGGTTTTCTTTTTCAGTTTTAGACTCTCTTTTTTGTGTCCTAGACTTACTGAACTAGATCCAAGCTATAAAAATCAGTTCTTAAAATTCTAGCAGAAGTTACTATGGAGAAATGAAAAAAATGGATTTGGTTGGGAAGTGGGACTAGAATGTACATTTTTTTATCCTAACATTGCTTACATTTTTAATAAAATATCTTTAGAAATAAGTAGCTGCCATCCTTACCCATAATACTTGTTTACACAATACCAAGATACAATTGTCTGAAGAAAATCTGTGATTATAGTTTTATATGGAAGAGTGTAATTTCTTAATACTATAGCCTATTAGTAGCATTGTTTTTATTACCTCATTTCTAATTATTAGTAGTCTAAAAAGTGGGAGCAATTATCTCATAGTAGCTAAATTTTTATGTATCTTTGCCTAATATTTTTCATTATTAAACAAGTAATAACAGATTTGTAATGGGTTTATCACATCCTTAGGAATTTTCTTCATGGAGTCTCTTTTGAGAGATCTTCTTAGGAGTAAAGCTAATTTTAACTTAAATCACTGGGAAATCTGCTTCTGGGAATAAAAGGGATCTTTATATTACTAAAGTTGGATAAGAAGCAGGAAGGCAATACATAACTGTTAGTTGTAAACTAAGGTGCTTTTATTAGGAATTTATATTGATTATATTTATCTGAAGAGAGCATTGTGATATTTTTTAAAAAATCATCTTGAAGATTCATCTGTGTGTCTTTTTGTTGCTTTAAAATTGTGTTTGGCACTGTTCTAAAAAGTAATTATACTAACAGACTGCTATTTTATTTTGTATTGCTCATAAAACATCTTCCTGTATGATAGTTGTCAGACGT